TTTTGGAAACATACCCAGAAATGGGAGCACTGCATCCTAGAGTAATATTATTTTTAATTTTAACACTTTGTATTCTAATTAGGCAAATCCTGAATTTATTGCCCTGATATTAAATTTTAACATAACCAATCTGAATAGAGATGAGATCTGAACCAAAATGAGCTTGCTGCAGTTTTCCCTCTTGTGACTGAAACTTGTTACTGTAAGGAGAGGTAGTTTGTTTTTTTGGTACCCAGGATCGAACTCAGGACCTTGCGTTTTTGAGGCAGGTGTGGTGCCACTGAGCTAAATCCCGGGCCCACAAAGCTACTATTAAACCCCAATTTTCTGTCCACTCAGAATTTTGGCACTCATTCTTAACTTATTCAGCAGGTAGGTATTTTTTTTAAACTTTATTTTGAAGAATTCCAAATTCACAGGGAGTTGCAAAGGTAGTGCAGAGGTCTCTTGCACCTTTACCTCGTTTCCCCCCACAAGTTATCTTTCTATATTTCGGCAGTCTGGGGATTGCATGCGGCCTTCACCTATGCTGGGCTAGTGATCTGCCACTGATTACCATTATTATTACCAGTTAGTGCCTTCTGTGCCACAGCCCCAGGCCCCACTAGATTTTTTCCCTTGGTGCTAGGAGTTGAGTGAATCCAGATCCCTTGCATGTGGTAAGCACATGTTTAACTCTTGGAGTATCTGAGGTCTTTTAGTAAAAGCACAAGAGATAGCAGTCACTGTTATCTACCTATCCACTTACTAGAACTTTCCTTTGGTGAGGTCACCCTTTGAACACTACCCAAGACATAAGGGTCTTTAAAAAGCTAAATTTAAAAAGCTAAAATTCAGATCATGGGTTCACTGTCAGAGAGTATAAGGGCAGGGCTTAGGAATCTTTATTTTGAAATACTTGAGGGTGACTCTATTAGGGAAATTAACATTTCCTTTTTTTTTTTTGAGACAAGGTTTTGGTATGTAGTCTAGGATGGCCTAGAACTCACTGTGTAGCCCAGGCTGGCCTCCAACTCGAATCTTCCTGCTTCAGCCTCTTCAAGTGCTGGGATTATAGGCATGTGCAATCACACCCAGCAGGATTTTGGATTGTTTGTTTGTTTTGGTACTGGGGCAGGACCTTGCACTTGCCAGGCAGGAGCTATGCCCGAAATGTGCAGCTGAGCTAAATCCCCAGCCCAAAAGGATTTATTTATTTACTTATTTATTGGTACTGGGATTGAACTCAGGACCTTGTACTTTTGAGGCAGGCATGGGAACCACTGAGCTAAATCCCCAACTCTTGAATTTGCTTTTTGTTTTTGTATAGGGGATCAAACTTGGGACCTTGTGGTTGCCAGGCAGGTGTGGTGCCACTGAGCTACATCCCCAGCCCTAGCCTTGAATTTGTAGTGATTCTCCTGCCTTGGCCTCCCAAGTCCTGGGATTACAGGCACAGGCTACTGTAACTGGCTATGACCAGTATTTATTGACCTATCAAGGATTTCCTGAATCCTTTCTATAGGAAATAGTAACTCATTTACACATAGAAAAACTGAAATTTAAAGGATATAATTGTTAAACTACAGTTGACCTCAAACATGAAGATCGTTATGGTTTATGGCTGGAGATGTAGTTCAGGGACAGCCTGTTGTGTAGTGAGCACAGGTCACTAGGCTTAATGCACAGTACTACGAAGACAAAAACAATTAGGGCTTGGTTATTCCTAGAAAGAGGAAGGTTGTCTTTTCTTCTTTTAGCTATAGAAAGATGGATGGCTTCTTATAAATTAGAAAACTTTATTGTTAGTATACATAGTGGTCCTATCTGAGATAAGTCATTATTCTACATAAGTACAGGAAAATTCAGAAATAGTGCTGTAAGAACACCCTTGCATATGGAAAAGGCCAAAAGCGCAGGGCCTTGCACTTAGGAAGGAGTGAAGTTAGCTCCTGTGCAAGGGTGAAAAGCAGCTTTCTGCAAAGCCTGTTCCAGTGAGGGAGCGTCTTCATTTCTGGATTAAGCCACACTCAAACTTGTCCTACCCTAACTCTGAAGGGCTTTCTGTTTTCTTCCTTTCCGGTTTGTAGGTATTTGCTGTAAGCTGTTGGTCTGTGGTGGCTCAGTCTCTTCCAGTGACTCCAGGTGGAAAGGAATATATGTAGATACCTGGTGTATGAAGCTCACTGTGTACATCCCTGCCCAAGTTTAGGTACCTCATGTCAAGATTTTGGCTGCACAAACTAGTTCTGAATCTTTGGGAACATAAGGACATGTTAGGGAACCTGAGCCCCAGAGCAAGTGCTCAGAAACTGCTTTGAGGGCTCTATCAGTCTTTGGGTTCTAAGCACATTTTGGCTTACAGCACTGGTATTAGCCCTGTGTTAGACAGACTGTTAGAGTCAAGTAGTGCTAGGCCGAGTGGTGGTACACACCTGTAGTTGCAGTGCTCAGGAGGCCAAGGCAGGAGGATTGTGGCAAGCTGGAGGCCAGCCCGGGCTCCATAATGAGTTCAAGGACAGCCTGAACTACATAGCGAGACCCTGTCTCAAAAACCGAAGAGGAGGGGCTGGGGATGTTGCTCAGCAGCAAAGCACTTGCCTGGCAGGTGTGAGGCCCTTGAGTTCAATTCCCAGTACCAAAAGAAAAAAAAAACAGGGCTAGGGATTTAGTTGAGTGGTGCTGCCACTTGCCTTGCAAGTGCAAGGTCTTGAGTTTGATCCTCAGTACAAAAAAAAAAAAAAGCAAGAAAAGAAAGAAAAGAAAATCACTGGGCCGGCAATTTAGCTCAGTGGTTACGCCGCCTGTCTCGCAAGCTCAAGGATCCGAGTTTGATCCCTGGTACCAAACAAAAAACCAAAGACGGGGGAAAGGAGAAATCAGGTAGTGCCTAAAATCAACATTTTGGGGCCAACTACAATCGTGGGGTAGAGTGCTTTTATTTATGTGATAGCAACTGAGTGTTGCAAGTTTAGCGTAAGGGTCAGCTTTTTGATACTATGCCCAGGCAGATTAAGCCAGTTATTTCTAGGTCTGTGTGAGATACAGAGTTATTGACCTCTGTTTTATTTATTTTTATTTTTAATTTTTTTCCAGTACTGGATCGATCTTGGGACCTTGCACTTTCGAGGCAGGCCTGGTGCCACTGAGCTAAATCCCCGGCACTTGACCTCTGTTCTATTAAAAATTGAGAACTGTAAAAATTTATATTCTGGGCTGCTTTGCATATAGGTCTGGACTCACGAGGGAGTTTTAAAATCAATTTAATGGGTCTGACTAGCATTAAAACAAATAAGTAGTACCGAGTAGGGGGAAAAAGTCCCTTATCACTGTGTATCACAAATACTTAACCAAAGTTAAGTATTTACACATGTTTTATTGGCTTACAATATGAAAATAATTCTTTTGGGGGTTTTTGTTTAATACATTACAGCAGTTTTAAGTTCACAGCAAAGTTGCAGAAAGTACAGAGCTTAGGGCCAGGGATTTAGCTCTGGTTCTGCTCACAAGCGCAAGGACCCAAGTTCGATCCCCAGTACCAAAAAAAGAGAAAGTGTAGAGTTTGCATATTCTCACTCTACTTTTTCTTTCTTTTTTTTTTCTCTCTCTCGTGTTTTTGGTTTTTGAGACAAGGCTGGCCTCAAATTTGCAGTGATCTTCCTGCCTCTGCCTGCCTCCTTAGTGCTAGGAATACAGGCATGCGCCACCACACCCAGGTCTCCCTCCATTCTTGACATACACTTCCACCCTTGTGGAAAACATATATATTTTTTTTTTTGGTACTGGAGATCGAACTTGGGTTCTTGTGTTTGCAAAGTAGGCGGCGAACCACTGAGCTAAATCCCCGACCAAAATTTTCTTTCTTTCTTTTTTTTTTTTTTTTTGTACCAGGGATCGAACTCGGGTCTTTGAGCTTGTGAGGCAAGTGGCAGAACCACTAAGCCAAATCCCTGGCCCCCTGAAAATATATTTCTTAATGCATTAAGTTTTAAAGTCTGAGATGCTTGGTTCAGTGGCACACACTTGTAATCCTAGCACTCTGGGAGGTAGAGGGAGGATGATTGCAAGTTTGAGCCCAGCTTGGGCAGAGACACCCTGTCTCTGAGTGAATGAATGAATGAATGAATGAATAGATCAATAGAAGGGCTGGGAAGGTGGCTCAGTACAAAGGTTCCCAGTATAAAAAAAAGAACAAGTACATAAATAAAATTTAAAAAACTTGAGGGCCAGGGATTTAGCTCAGTGGTTCCACTGCCTGCCTTGCAAGCTAAGGACCCGAGTTCGATCTCCGGTACCAAAAAAAACCCCAAAAAACTTGAAAGCCACAGCTCTATACATGTCTGCTTTGAAAGCTGGGCCGGGGATTGAGCTCAGTGGCACCATGCCTGCCTTGCATGTAGGCGCAAGGTCCTGAGTTCAGTATCCCGGTACCAACAAAAAAAAAGTAATTTGAGTGAGTTTGTGGTATTTTGTGAGTTTTTGGGCAGTAGAATGGGAGGCTTAAGAGTTAGGATAAGAGTAAAGTTAAGAATTTTCTTTGAATCTTTAGCAATTAACCAATATGGTTGAGATGGGATTTTCCTGATTCAATAGTTTAGGATAGTTAAAGTGGGATTTGCATCAAAGCTTTTGATAGTATATTATAGTTGTAGTTACTGAATGTATATAGTTCGTTGAATGTAGGATCACATGACATAAATGTCATATTAAGCTATCTGACAGGACATCCTTTGTGATTTAGGACTGGAAAGGTCTGGTCTATTTTATGTAAAGTTAGCTGTTCTGGCATTGTGTCATTTCTAGTATTTCTGTTTTAGGTAAAATGTAGGCCCACAAGCAATAGAGGTGGTAGGACTAGAAGAAAGGGATTGTAGTCAGTAGATCTTTGTGTTATTGTGTTGTCTTATTTTAATGTGAAATAGTTTTCAGGAAAGACCATAAAAATAAAGTGTTATTTACGTTTTAAGCCATTAAATTATAGATATTAACTTACTAGCTTCTTTTTTTTCTTTTGCTTCAAGGTTTGGGCCCCATGGGATCCCCGTGACAGTATTTCCCAAAAGGGAATATAAGGATAAACCGGAAGCCATGCAGCTCCCAAGTAATACATTCCAAGAAGGGACAGAAGTCAAGCTTGAGGCGAATGGTGCTGTTCCCACTGACCCTTCTCCTGTCCCTGTCTCCCCTCCTGAGCCGAGTGTGGCGGAAAGTCTGTGGACGTCCAAACCACCACCTCTCTTCCACGCTGGAGCGCCTTACCCTCCCCCTTTGTTTATCAGGGACACCTACAACCAATCAATACCTCAGCCCCCTCCTCGAAAAATAAAGCGGCCCAAGCGAAAAATGTACAGGGAAGAACCCACTTCGATAATGAATGCTATTAAGCTGCGACCCAGGCAAGTCTTGTGTGATAAATGCAAGAACAGTGTTGTTGCTGAGAAAAAGGAAATCAGAAAAGGTAGCAGTGCAAGTGACCCTTCAAAATATGAAGATAAAAAGCGGAGAAATGAAAGTGTGGCTACTGTGAACAAAAAACTGAAAACTGATCCTAAAGTGGATGGGAAAAACCAAAACGAAAGCCAGAGAAGAAATGCTGTGGTTAAGGTATCAAGTATTGCTCACAGTAGAGGCAGAGTAGTAAAAGTTTCTGCTCAGGCAAATACATCAAAAGCTCAGCTAAGTACTAAAAAAGTGCTCCAGAGTAAGAACATGGATCATGCAAAAGCTCGGGAAGTATTGAAAATTGCCAAAGAAAAGGCACAAAAGAAGCAAAGTGAAACCTCTACTTCCAAAAATGCACATTCAAAAGTCCACTTCACACGGCGGTATCAGAATTCTAGCTCAGGTTCCCTCCCTCCTCGTGTTCGCTTAAAACCACAGCGGTACAGGAATGAAGAAAATGACTCCTCTCTGAAGACGGGACTCGAGAAAGTGCGGAGCGGCAAGGTGGCACCCAAGCCCCAGTCTCGCTGCACCTCCACCCGCTCAGCAGGTGAGGCCCCTTCCGAAAGTGAGAGTCCCTCAGAAGGCCCCGAAGAGGCCAGCAGTGAGGTTCAGGACACGAGTGGAGTGCATGCGCCTGGTGGGCAGGATGAGCCGCAGACACCGGGCACAAAGGGCACCGAGAGCAATATGTCTGTTTACGTGGCCCTAACGCAAAAGAAGTGCGACTCTCCCAGTGCTTCGGTGTGTAGCGCTGATAGCTCAGATGGTTTGAAGCCTTCCAACTCTGAGTGTAGCTCTTCTGAAAGCCTTGACTTTCCTCCAGGCAGGGTGCATGCGCCTTGCACCTCCTCTGCTTCCTCCTCTTCAAAGGAAGAGAAAAAGTGCAGTAATTCCTTACAAATGAAAATCTTTTCCAAAAACGTCTCTAAATGCATCACACCAGATGGCAGGACCATATGTGTAGGGGACATTGTTTGGGCCAAGATCTATGGCTTCCCTTGGTGGCCAGCCCGTATTCTTACTATAACTGTGAGCCGGAAAGATAATGGCCTTTTAGTCCGACAGGAGGCCCGGATTTCATGGTTTGGGTCTCCAACCACTTCTTTCCTTGCTCTTTCGCAACTCTCCCCTTTTTTAGAAAACTTCCAGTCACGCTTTAATAAGAAGAGAAAGGGCCTGTATCGCAAGGCCATCACAGAGGCTGCTAAGGCGGCCAAGCAGCTAACCCCCGAGGTGCGGGCTCTGTTGACACAGTTTGAAACGTGAACATGGACAGTGAGGTAGGCAAGAATCATTGTGAGGCGCCAGTTTTCTAGGCTAGTTAGGAATAATTTCTACAAAATAGGTTGGCCAAATTGGACAGAAAAATTGCACTCAGTTGGCTGTCTTTTTATACTTACTTACCTTATAGCCATTTTTAGACTGAGAAGTTTCAAACTGAACAGGCAGTCACTCAGATTTGTCTTCAGGAAGTGAGATTTTAGTAGTATTTTCCAGGTTTGAAATCTGAAACCATCCCAAGGCACAGAAGCCATAGCCTCAGCTGAAACTGAATGTTTGCAGGGACTGTTATTTTTTGTACCTATTAACTGTATATACACTCACACTCAGACACAGACACAATACTGTCTGTCACTATGTGACACAGGTTGCATATTTGAGTTTTTAGTAAGAGATGATGAGCTGGGGGAAGAGGGAATATTTAATGACTACTTGTTTTTTAAATTAACAAACACTTAGCCTTTCTGTGCGTATAATGGTATAAAAGTTTCATATGTGGGTGTTTGACAAACTGAGATGCTTGCTGTTTATTCAGTTACAGAGGGGAAGTAGTCCAGTGTTTGCTTCCAAGTGTTAGAACTGTTGGTCAGGTTTGAACCATCACTCTTTTGTTCAGTGGGGACATAACTAACTTTCAAGCTTTTGGTTTGGGAGTTTAGGTAGGTTTGATTTTGGATATGTAAATAGTTGGTTACTAAATTTGGTCAGATTTCTCCTGACTGGTTGTTCCTAAATTCTTAGGATACGTCCTAGTAAATTACACTTTGTGAATTGTCATGTGTAATTGTTGCATTTCGGATGTACCTAATTTGATAATTTTAAAAAAATATTTCCACTTAAGGTATCTGTTTGCAGGTCAGAAAATGAGAAATGTAATTGTGTAATGCTCTGAAATGTAAAAAACAAAACAAAAAATCTGTAAATAAAATCAACTAAATCCAAATTATTTGTGTGTGTTTCTCAAAAAGCTTTGAAAAATTTCAAGATGGTAGAAAATTATTCTTTGTAATAGTGTTTAGAAAAGGCGGAAGACCAAACATTTAGTTTCCTGTTTGCTGTCAGGAAATATATTATCTGAGAATAGTTATAAGTCAGATAATATGAGGTTGATCAGTATATTCTTAAAGTGAAGTTTTGTAGAATAGAGGTATGATGTGCTTCTAGAGTTCAACTCCCACCAACTTGCCATAAATGAGTAGGATTTAATTTTCCATTTTTAGCCTTCATAGTTCATCACGTGCTTCTTTTTCTTTTGTACATTTGGGTAATTATAATCTGTCTCTTTCCTGTTTTGTTTTCTGCCTCAGGTATGACTGCTTTTGGGGCTGGTAACTTAGCTTGTTATTTTTCTATGTGGTCCATGTGTCCCTAAGATTTGATTCCTTATTTTCCACTTGTAGCTTTGTATTGTTAGCAAAAAATGAAAAATATATCTGAATTCCTGTGGAGGCAAGTTTATCCTCAGATTTCTTAAAGTTGCTTTCAAACTTTTTTGTGTCTGACTTAAATTTGGTGTGATTTCAGTCAGTTTGACACTTTTGGAAACTTGAAACTTAAAGAAGGCAACTTTTTGTGGATTTCTAAATCCAGTCTGGAATATATTAGTTACTGTGGAATTAATAATGAAGATTATTAGACAATGGAAATCAATAGGCTTCTGTCAGCTCCTTTTCGGTTTGGACTTCTTTGATTACCATTTTCTGCAAAAACAAGTAGAACTTCTTTTGGGGAATTCAGTCAATGCTTTTTGATTTTAATAAACACACAAGTTTAAAAATATTTCACTTGACTAGAACATATTTCTTTCCTGCAAACAGAAACAACTATTTTAAATTTCTCTGATTATAATAGGTTGAAATACGTTCACAGTGTGATGGAGGGGCTATAAGGGAAGTATCTTCAGAGATTTTTTGGATATGTTTCAAGTTAATGAACTTGTTCATTCAGGTATTTAAAGTTTGAAATCTACAGTTCAGAAAGCTTAGAAAATAAAATTCTCAGGCCTTGCAATCTGGGTGAGATTTATGATACTGATTTTGAAAGTGGGTATTGCTAATAGGTGCTTTGGCAGGTGTGCTATTACAGTATAAACCATATTTGGTTTGTTTCAGAAGCCATGGGGCAAGGGAGAAAGAAAGTGATAAAATCATGATTGTGAAATACAAAAAACATTCAGTTTTGTCTTCCATACCTTTGAAAAGCGAAGCCCAATCACAAGTTTACATAGTCTAATTTTCTCAAATGATCCATCCATTTGAACTTTCAGTCTGGCATATTTCACCTGAAATTCAATAGGAAAACAAGTTTAATAAACTATAATCTTAAAATATATTTTCTATACACTGATATAGTAGCTGTATATTTAAAAGTGTATTTGAGCTGGGTATGGTGGTGCGGGGTTGTAATCCCAGCACTTGGAAGGCTGAGGCAGAAGCATTGTAAGTTTGAGCCCAACCTGGACAACCGATTTATTAAGACTTGATTCAAAAAAAAAAAAAAAGGAAAAAATGGGTGGGGATATGGCTTAGTGCAAATCCTGTGTTCAGCTCCTAGGTTCCCCCCCGCAACAAGTTTTTAATAGAAATTTCTTAGATGAGTGTTTCCACTGTCTGCTATAGGTAGAGATAGCCAACGTAGGTAACTGTAGCCACTTTTAGGTTTCCCTGGAATGACAAAAGGCTCTGCATGGACATAACCCATGTGAGTATTTTTCCCCTTCCAGGTCAGTGGTCTGTGAAGAGGGAGTAACACAAAGGATAAGCAAGACAGAAGCCAAGCGAAGTAAGAGCCGTGCAGACTAAGAATGTCATTATTTGTAGAAATAACCAGAAATTTAAAACATCAGAATATTTTTCCTTTTTAATGTTCTAGAACTTACAGACCAGGAAGCTGGCTGGTCATTTGGAAGAGGCATCCAGTTAACTATTTACAGATGCGGAACCCAAGACCTAGAAGACAGGAGTGAGGTAGCTGGGGAGACTGGGGTTCACTAGGCTGCAGTCTTTGCAAGAATTGGTGGTGTGTCCTTACCTGAGAGGGAGCGTGTGAGTGTGTCTGTGTGTGTTTGTTTTGTTTCTTTGAGACAGGGTCTTACCTTTTTTTTTTTTTTTTTTTTTGGTATGGGGGATCAAATTTGGGTCCTTGCACTTGTGCAGCAGGTGGCGAAACCACTGAGTTAAATCCCCAGCCATGGGTTGACTTTTAACAAAAGGGTTTGGTCAGGTATGGTGCACACCTGGAATCTCAGCACTAGGGAGGCTGAAGCAGGAGCATTACTTTGAATTCAAGGCCAGCCTGGGATATGGGCTAGATAGTGAGTTCCAGGTCAGTCTTAACTACACAGTGAGACCCTGTCTCAGAAAAACAAGAAAAAATTTAGGTATCTTAACTGAAGAAGTTTTGTCCAGTCAATTAATGTATTTGTTATGTATCGGAAATGTACTAATAAAGATTTATGTCTAGCGATGGTCTCCAGTAAGTGATTTGCCAGAGACAATGAAGACTCATTTTCTACGTTGGGGCAAATTAACTTTTTGCTTTGACATTGTAGTAATATTACAGCTATTAACAGTCTTCAAAGAAATGCCTGATATAGGGAAACAGTAAGCTGCATTCATTGTTGCTGGCTATGAGTTCCTACTCAAGAGCTTCTTCATATTCTCTTTACAGCTATGTGCACTTGCTGTATTCCTTCAGCTAAGTTTGTGTAGAATTAAAAAATGATACCATTAGCAATTAGCATATTCTATTATGCTATTTGTTTTACTTTGGTTTCTTTTGAGACAGTCTCACTATGTAGTTCAGGCTGGCCTCCAACTCGCAGTAATCCTCCTGTCTCAGCCTCTGGAGTTCTGAGATCACAGGTGTGTGCCACCATGCCGGGCTTGTTTAATTTTGAGGCAAGGTCTCCCTGTGTATGCGTTGCACTCACTAGGTGCTAGCACAGGCTGGGCTCAAATTCATGATCCTCCTGCCACAGCATGGGATTACAGGCAAGCGCTGCCACACCCATCTTTGTATAATCTTTTTGATAACATCTTTTAAATTTTCAATGCTCTTTTTTTTTTTTTTCTTTTTTCTTTTTTGGTACTGGGGATGGAACTCGGGACCTTGTGCTTGAGAGGCAGGCACTGGAACCACTGAGCTAAATCCCTGGCCCACGATGCTCTTGTTCTAGAAGGTAATGGAAATTAAGCCACAACAGAACTGCCCACTTGTAAAACTTACATGATTTAGTGTAATTGTATTTGCCAAGAGTAGGTTTTAATTAAAACTATCCTCTTCCAATAATAAAAACAATCTTTTGGACCTTTTTTTCTTGGTACTGGGAATCAAACTTGGGCCCTTGTGCTTGTCAGGCAGGCGGAGTGCCACTGAGCTATATCCCAGGCCCTGGAGCATTTGATGAATATGGAAACCATTTATTGTAGTACTAAATTTGAGTTACTAGCTAAAACTCAAGTTATTTACATTCCATCATAGTATTTATCAAATTTTTGTAATAGCGTGCTATTTATTGGCACGCCCCCCCCCCCCCCCTTGCAGTACTGGGGACTGAACCCAGGGCCTTCCCACTGAGCTGCGTCCCCTGCCCCTTTTTTTCTTATTTTGAGACAGTCTTGCAAATTGCCTAGATTGGGTTTGCACTTGAGGTCCTCCTGCCTCCCCCTCCCGGAGTGCTGGCCTTACAGGAGCGCAGCACCAAGCTGGGCTTCTAGTCAAATTCTGATTAACTTAAATAGTTTCTATAAATTACTGTTATTCTGGGGGGGAGGTGTAAAGGAAAAAGATTATACTCTCAAATCCTGAATTTCAGCGTCATACTCTTGCAGCTGAATAACCTGGAACAGTATAGTGCATGTTGCCTAACTTCAGAACCTTTTCCTTTGAACACATTTTTTTTGTAACAGTTTCATAAAGCTTTGATGCTAAATACAAGACCAGTCTTAAAACATAGTTTAAACATGAATTAAATATTTTTGTTCAAATTCCTGAGAATTTTGTTAGATTGTTTTTTTTTAAAGCTGTAATTTTAGTCATCTATGTAGAATCTTCCCTTCATCAAAAGTGTATGAATGAGTTTCCTCCTTACATTCCTCGGAAGTCTGAGTCTAGTTGGGAATTTAGCACAGTGGTGCTGCGCCTGCCTTGTAAGCAAAAGTGCAAGGTCCTGAGTTTGATCCCTGGAACAAAAAAAAAAAAAAAAAAAGAAGTCTGACTCTGAACCAGAAACCATGAATAAAACACACTTTTTTCTATCCTGGGGTCAGTAGGTGGAAGGAAAGCCAATTTTTTCATAGTTGACATTGTAGGCTTTTATGGTTATACGTTTTTTCCTTTCCTTGAAAGTTGAAAAAATACACAGCAAGTGTTAGTAAGGGGCTTTTTCCTTTAAGATAGTTTTGTAACCTGTGTCCCTCATTTAGTTGTCTCCAGCACGAATACTCCCTTAACACCTATTGAAAGCCTGCAGTCCCTGGGCCACCTGGGTACTCTAGGCGACTGAGGTGGGAGGATTGCAACTTTAAGCCCAGCCTGGGCAATTTATAGAGTTGGGAAGAACCTGTCTTAAAAAATAAAGGGCTGGGGATGTGACTCAGTGGGAAGACTCTTGGTTTAATCCTTGCTATAAGAAAAGAAAAATTATTGAAGTAGAATTTTGCCTGGTTCTGGCGCCTGCCTCCCAAGCGCAAGGCCGCCCCAAGTTCGATCCCCGGTACCAAAAAAAAAAAAAAAAAAGAATTTTTTCCCAAGATAAAATACGATGGAAATTTCTGGTTGTCCAGATTGTCTTTGTAGAAATGTGAGAGCATCTCCCAGTTGAGTATAAAAAGATCACCGAGGATACCTAAAGCCGGGCATTCTCAGAAGCTGAGGCAGGAATATCACAAATTTGAGCCCAGCTTGGGCAACTTAGTGACTTGGTGACCCCCGCCCCAGTGTCTGGGGATATCGCTCAGTGTGAAGGCCCTGGGTTCTGTCCCCAACACCTGGGGGCGGGGCCAGGGCCGGGGCAGGGTGGTGGGGTGTGTGGGTGCACTTGTGGGTGGGTAACTTAATATTGCAGGGCAGTTGCAACATTAGCAAGTTTGCATCCGCAGTGAGAGCTTTTAACAAGTGAAGAATCGTTCTTTCACTGAGCCACATGGTTGGAAGTACAAGCTCTTGAGCCAGATACCCTAAAGTCGGAGCCTGCCTGGGATCTGCCACGTAAAAGCATTGTGACTTAGGCGGGCTACCTCTGTCACCACCCGTGGAATGGAAGAATCAGGAGGATAATAGTCCTTCCTCGTAAGGTACCTGAGAATTTAAGTATTCAAAGCAGTAGTGTGCTTGGCACAGACTTCTATAAATATTTGGTGTCACTGCTAACCCTTTGTGTATAGGCCGAGAAATCTCACTCTGACAGCTTCGATACTATCTTTTGCAACATGCACTCAGTATGAATGAAAGAAATTCTTCAGGTTTCAATACTTGGTGTGATTATTCTAATAACCACGCTGTGATTATTCACAAGTATTTAGAAGTGGCATGAATTCAGTGGTTTTAACTGGCACTTGTGAAGGGTGACTGGGTTGAATGTCATGGGGATTATAGTGGAAGGAAACTGGTGAAAACTCATAACATTATTTAAGTCACATGACCATAGCTCAGCCAGGCCTGGTGGCACAGCTCTGTAATCCTAGCACCTGGGAGTGTGAGCCAGGAGGACCACAAGTTTGAGGCCACCAACCTGTGAAGTTTAACTACTTAGTGAGATCCTGACTCAAAAATAAAAAGAGCTATGGGGCCGTAGCTCAGTGTGACGGTCCCGGGTTCAATCCCCAGTACCACCCAAAAAAACAACCCAGAAACCTGTTTCAGCTCTTGCCCACTCATTCATGTAGTACTGTCCAGAACTCTCGCCTACCCCAGAAAGTGCAGAGCCTGGCATGAGTAGAAAAGGGCTCACTTGTGCGTGAGAGGAGCACCTTGGGGCCTGGTGCAGTGGGGGTTCTGTCAGAGCTTCACAGAGGCATTGGAACCACCGAGCTACACTATCAGTCTTCATATGAAAGGGTCATTTCCACCTGCATGGGCTCCCCAGAAACCCTGGGGTTTTTTTTATTTTGGTTGTGGGGGACCTTGCCAGGCACCAGAACCACTGAGCTAAATCCCGGCCCCTGGGGTTTTCTTATTTTAATGTTTTGGCAAGTCATAAAAAATAGTAATTGGAATATTATTTTATCGCTCCTGGTATTTGAGTAGGAGGCTGTTTCTGAGTTATGTAAGGGAAGCACCTGACATCTCAAGCCTTTGATCTGTGTGTGTCAAAGCCATTTTTCAGAGGATAGTCATTTTTATTGACGGCTCATTTTTCTTTTTTTTTTTA